GGGTCCGACCGGCCGAGCCCCAAGCGCCCCGCCCGCGCCCTGCGCCTCAGCTCGGCCGGCGGGGGAGGGGGCATGAGCCGGTGCCCGCGCATCGCCCGAAGCTGCGGGCCAGCCTAGAGCCCCGCGCTGACCCCGCGCGAGCTGAGCCGCCCCTGCCTCCAAGCCGCGGGCGCAGCAGTGGGCACCAGGATGCAGCGGCCGGGGGAGCCAGGCGCTTCGCGCTTCGGCCAGCCCGAAGGCTGCGCCGACCACCGGCCACACCGCTACCGCAGCTTCATGATCGAAGAGATCCTCACTGAGCCGCCCGGGCCCAAGGGCGCCGCGCCCGCCGCCGCCGCTGCTGCCGCGGGAGAGCTGCTGAAGTTCGGCGTGCAGGCGCTGCTGGCGGCGCGGCCCTTCCACAGTCACCTGGGTACGTGTGGCGGCCGCAGGGCCGCGGGCCGGGCTTGGTGGGAGAGAGAGAGCAGCATTGCGGGGGGCACCCGGAGCTGCCCTCATCCTCCACCCCGGCTCGGTCGCCGTCCGGGGAAGCCTGTCTGGGCTCAGGCTCTGGGATTCGTCTCTAGGCGCGCTCCAACCGGGAAGCCGAGGGTGCAGGCGTCAGGCCGCACAGAAACCAGGCCTCGTGCCCCACGGCCAGGCCGAGAAGGGCGTTCGCTTTCTCATTCACCGCCGCCCTACGGCCTTCAGGCTGAGGACCCTCAAGTCCGCATCCCCATCACAGGCGCGACCAGACTTCAGATCGCTTCTGATGAAGCGACCTCAGGGCGTGGGCGCCTAGGCTTGCGCTACAGAGTGGCCAAGGCTGCCCCAAACAGGGAGGCAGGGACCTCTGAGAAAGAGGCCTGCGTCTTGGAGTGCTAATGGTGGATCAAGCCTTTTTGGAGCTCCCGGAGCCCAGTGCGTTCCAGAGGGAGCTTAGAGGGGCCTTGGCCGGAATATGGGCCTGTCTGAGCCTTGCCTAGGGGCAAGAGGCCTCACTGTAATGTTTGGCCAGGCTGGTCCTTCCACTTCCATGTTGGCTGGGCTTCCACCCCTCAGACTTTTCCAGCCTCTGTCCTTTCTCTATCTTCCTTGGTAGGTAGGTCCTGTCCTACCCTGGTGGAGCCGTCTGGGTCTCAGCCAACCCTGTTCTTGCCTTTGCCTATCGTGTTCTCCACTCATCCATTGGCCTCTTTCAGCTGGCTTCTCTCTCTGAAGTTGGGCTGCCTCTCTTCTTCCATCTTTTCTCCATGGAGCCTCCTCCCACCCGCTGCCAGTGTTCCTGTCCACATTTTCTCACATCTTGGCCTGGGCCTTCTGGACTCCTTAGGGAATAGAATCCACCTGCAATGAGATGCTTGTGAGAGAAGGGAGGCTCCTACGCTCTACCCGGGACATTAGTCTAGCAAGCCACTTTCCTTGCACTCCACACCCCAGCTAGTGCTTTGGGTCCTGGGGTAGCATTGCCAAGTGGTTCTTTCTGAGTCCATCTGGGACACAATGTCTAGGCTGCCTTTCGCCTCCATTGCTTTGTTGTTAATAATTCGTTTGAAGCGGGCAAAAAAATCATTTTAGAACTAAAGAAAATGGAAACTTCTTTATGGGGAAGAGTCTAAAGAAAGAATACGGGAAGGACAATTTCTTTGTAATCAGGTGCTTTGGAATTTCTGGCAAGCACCCCAGTCCTCCCCACCACAGATGAGGCCTCTGTCGCCTGGCTGCCGCTGGCTCTTGTGCCACGCACAGAAAAGTAAATGTGCACACTGCATTCGTATTCTTTTTCTAGCGTAGTAATGCTGGTTTGGGGCAAACGCCCATTTTCTTAACTAGCTGTCGGTTCTTCTTAGTTCCCTTCTTCCATAAACGACACACTACACGCTTCTTAGAGCTGCAAACTTGTTCATGGAGAACCCTAAAATCTCAATGGTGGCTGGGACCCAAGGAATGATAGGACAGAGCACCCACCGGGAGGGAGAGGTTCCCCTCCCAGACTTAGGGGACACCAGCGTTGACGAGGACCGTCCTTGGCGCGTGGTGCAAATCCTCTAGGCCCGAGGCGGGGCGTGAAGGTTTGCGCTAGGTGGCACTGGCCGAGCGCCAGCACCCCTGCCGCTCACGGCGTGGCGGGCTCTGAGGTGGAGGAAAGCGGCGGGAGTTCAACCGGCTCCCCGCTCTTTTTCCTCGCAGCCGTCCTGAAGGCCGAGCAGGCTGCGGTGTTCAAGTTCCCTTTGGCGCCGCTTGGATGTTCCGGGCTGAGTTCTGCGTTGCTGGCCTCGGGACCCGGGCTGCCCGGCACCGCCGGCGCGCCTCACCTGCCACTAGAATTGCAGCTTCGCGGGAAGCTGGAGACAGCGGGCTCTGGGGAGCCAGGCACCAAAGCCAAGAAGGGGCGCCGGAGCCGCACTGTGTTCACCGAGCTGCAGCTGATGGGCCTGGAGAAGCGCTTCGAGAAGCAGAAGTACCTCTCCACACCAGACAGGTAGTGCGGGGCCAGGCTGGGGCCAAGGGTATGGGAAGGTGGTTACCTGCCCTGCTGATGCTGCCCCCTACTCTTTCCAGAATAGATCTGGCCGAGTCCCTGGGTCTGAGCCAGTTACAGGTGAAGACGTGGTACCAGAATCGGAGGATGAAGTGGAAGAAAATAGTGAGTGTACCTGATGGCTTCTTGCCTCTTCAGCTTTCTGGACGGTGTCCCTGCTCCCTATTTCTCCCCTTGCTTTCCTAGGGACTTCGGCCCAACCCTCTGAATTTCCTTTAGTGCCTGGTGTGCACGAGGACCTTCTGTTCTCTCAGTCCTTCGGGTGCCCTAGCTGAGCCAACAATCCTTCCTCTCCCCCTGTATCCGCAGGCTTCCTGGCAGTCTTGAACTCTAAGCCGCCTCTCCCAGGAGCAGGCGCTCAAATGGCTGCCATTTCCTCCGGGCAGGGAAGGACTTCTGATTTCCTTCTTGGCCGCTCCAGTACCCCTTGGGCTCAGGGCACAGGAATTCCCGGTCCATGTCTGGGCTCACCTTGGTGCTGGTCATCTTTCCGGCAGGTACTGCAGGGCGGTGGACTGGAATCTCCCACCAAGCCTAAGGGACGGCCCAAGAAGAACTCTATTCCCACGAGCGAGCAGCTCACAGAACAAGAGCGCGCCAAGGAAGCAGAGAAGCCAGCAGAGATGTCAGGAGAGCCAAGTGACAGGAGCCGCGAGGACTAAGAGCACCGCACAAGGTGCGGGACTCGGGATCCTGGCGTCTTGCGCGGCCCACTCAGCCCTCGAGAACCCACGAGCTGGCCCTTCCGCGTCCAAGCGGTTTGCGTTCTAAACGTTTTATTATTACCTTGAATGCGGACAATTAAGGGACCAAGAAGGACACAGACCCTAAAGCCAAACCCAGGCCACAGCGCACTCCTGGGCCTTGACCTTCGAGACAGGTTCAGCGCAGCGAAAGTCAATGTGTCAGCCCTGAGCTCCGCGGTGCCAAGCGCTCACGCGCACTCACGCCCCGCTCCTTGCCTGCACCCCCACCCCGTTTTGGAACGGCTCTCCGGGGCCCGACGCCTCCTGGCACACTTTGGCTTCCGGGAATCAGACCGGTGGCTGAGCGCAGGCCACCAGGACCTGGACCCATAGGCTCCGCCCCCGGAGGCTGGGTCCCCAACCGAGCTGGGGTCCCTACCCCTCTCTTGCGAAGACAGTGACTTTTTCCAATAAAATATTTTATGACACAATGGAGCTTGGTGCAGCAGCTTCTGAATCCTCAGGGTGTGGGGGGTGTGGTAAGGTAAGATGGGCGCTCTATGTCATTCTCCCGCTATGTCCCTCGCACCTGTGCCCAGCTTCACCCGACCCACTTATGAATGGTGAGTGGCTCAGTTGCTGAGGGTTCTAGGAATCGTCTCCACTCTGAGCATGAGGGGCCAGTCTAAACTTTCCTTCCAGTTCATAGCAGTCAGGCTGCACAAAGGCTGTCCAAAAGAGTAGACGCTGGAGGCTTACTTGGGGGTTTACTCTGTAAGTGTCCTGGGGCCATGAGCTTCTTCATTGTTGATTCAGTCTCCTGAGATCTGAAGGACCCAGGGTAAGGTCCTTAAGATGGTCTTGACCAATACTTTATGAGGTGGATGGGTGGCTGAGGACTCAAAGTTGGAAAGGGCTGGCCACCAGCAGCCCCTTCCTCCTTGCAGCAGTGCAGCCCCCCCCCCCCCCCCCAGTTTGCACATTTTCTGGTATAGTGGGGACAGAGGCACCAAGTCCCAACTGGGCCCAGTGAAGGCACATGACTGAAGAAAAGAGAGGACTCCAGGCAAGATGGTCCCTTCCAGGGGAGCAGCTTGGCAGCCCCTGCTAACAAATATCATTTCCTCATGGGAAAGGTCTCAGTTGCTTTTAGCTGTCCAGGCTAGACTAAGCCTTGTCCTTGTGCACTCTATGTGAGATGACGAGAGTATGGGGATGGAAAGATGCCATTTTACTGGTTAAAGCTTAGGAAGACGATGCAACTTTGCCATGCAGAATTCCAAGCAGGACCAGGATTTTGAAGCCAGGTTCTTCCAGGCCCAAATACACACCCTCAGCTGCAGGCTTTGTGTTTCAGACTGTAAAAATGACCAGCTATGGCCTCCACCCACAGTAGAATCACCTTCCCTTTCTTCCATAGATCAGATTGATTGTCCCTTCCTGGAAATTACACTTGGACTTCCCCTTTCTGGCATCTCCAACATTAAGGACTATAGGAGAGAGAGAGAGAGAGAGAGAGAGAGAGAGACAGAAAGAGAGAGAGAGAGTGCTCCAAAGAGCACTTTCTGAAGGCTGCAGGCCACTCTGCACCCTAGTCCTGCCAAGTATGTGGGAAGCCAGCTCTTTCTAGAGCTCAGGGCTCCTAATTCATCCTTGCAAACAGCTCTCAGATTAGTCGCCTGTTTCCCCTGAGAGGCCCAAGAAAACCTGTCCCACTCTGGCTGCCTGAAAGGAATGAATCATCAGTATGTGACTGACTGTGCCCGCTAATTCCTTCCGGCCCTTGGGGTTACTACCAGGTCTGTTTAACCTCTCCATCCTGCAGTAACTTTCCTGCACTGGGCCCAGGACCCAAGTGACTTTTCACTGCTGAGTTTAATCCTCTGCATTTTGAAAGAGAGATAAGTGAGGGTCCAACTTCTGTCCCTGGGGAGTCCTAGGAACTGAGATTACAGCTCTGCCTTTGTCAACGATGTAAAGGAAAAGAACTTGTCCTCACAGGGACAATTGAAGAAGAGAAAGGAAGAAGATCTGACCTGTATCAGTTACAGTTCCTTCAGTGTCCTCTAGTTTTATTAAATGTAAGGAAGAAGACCTGGCTTAGACAAATTAATTGCCCTGTGCACGTTAGGACCAAGTGGTCTTTGTAGGACCAAGTGGTCTTTGTAGGACCAGGGCTCTAAAAGGTGGGGAGGGGGTCCACTGAATTCGGAGTCAGAGCACAAGGATCCTAATATTTCAGCTTGTACAGACTCTCCAGGCACAGATGGGGAACCTGATGCGGGGAATCTGGTCCCGAGGTCACCTGTGGGTCAGTGGGGAAGCTGGGCCTCAAATGAAGGAGTCCAGATTCCAGCGTAGGCAGGGTGGGAGGGGTGGAGTTTTTGTCACTGTCTGCGCCTCTGTGTTTAGCGCCCAGGGAACGGGTAGACCTCAGCAGCTGACAGAGCCTCCGAGGGTAGGGAGGAGCCGCAGCCTACGCGCTGGTCGCGTCCGGGTAGCTTAGGATTGTGTGGTGAAGTTCCTAAGACCTGACAAAAGCTCCAAGCCGGCTCCGGGGAGGAGCTAAGGCACAGAGGCAAACAGCTGCCCACCGACCTGGAGACTTCTCTACTGAGCGCAGTCCGCAAAGCTGCGACTCTAAGCAAAGGACCCCATTTCACCCACCCAGGTGAGGCGGTCTGCCGGACTGCGCGCGCTAGGACGCGAGCTCCTAGGAGCCGGATCTGAGCGCCACCGCGCCCAGGCCACGGGGCGCTGAGACCCCTTCTTTGCCCGCTGCAGCTGCACCCCCTCACGTAGGCCCAGGTCTTGAGGAAGTGAAGGCCCTTGGATGCCCGCGACGCGCAAGTCTCTTTACAGCCTCAAGGTCCTAGAAAACAAAATTCGGAGATGGCGCGAGCAGCGGAGGCGGTGGCTATGCTTTCCGAAGCCCCCCGGCCAACTGCCGGGAGAGGGACTGGGCTTGGGAGTCTCGCGAGAGCTGTGGCCCTGGGGAAGGCGGGGAAGCGTCCACGACCCGTGGGCCCTGGGGACGCGGAGGGCTGGGAATTAGTCTGGCAGCAACGCTCGTCAACAGGCGTGAAGTTTTCGTTTACTGGGCTTTATTCAAGGTGGCTTGGGCAGAAAGTAGACTTTGAGAGAAGATTGGCTGAATGGCCTCGGCCTGAAATGGGAGGAGGGTCGCATCTGACGTTATGTGATCTTGACGCTGAGCAAATCGGGATCCTGGTCCTGGAGTTGTCTGGAGAGAGAAACTTCTGGCGGCGCTCAGCTCTTGGGTCTACCCCAACAGGGCCAGTAGCGGCGGGTCTGGGGTCGGCTCAGAGCCTTCCACTTACTGCTGGCTCCACGTAGACTCCTGGCCTGCCAGGACTACCACCGGCGCAGCCGGGAGAGGGGACGCCCTATCTCTTCCCCTGGCTCTCCAATTTTTTTTTTTTTTTTTTTTTTACAGTTTTTGGCCGGGCGGGGTTTGAACCCGCCACCTCCAGCATATGGGGCTGGCGCCCTGCTCCTTTTAGCCACAGGAGCCTCCCCGCCCTCCCCTCCTTTTTAAAAATAAAAATTACTCTGCCTTGCTCCCTTTCGCTGTTCTGGATTCTCCTGGAGGGTCACTGCAGACCCCGGACCACGGCCACGGTTAACCTTCATGGAATATCAGGTTTACATCTCCTGGAGCCAGAGTGAGCCCTCTGTTCCTACTGGGAGGACCCTGTGAGCAGGGTCCGCTGGAAGTGGCGAAAGGCTGGCCTCTCAACCCAGAGTGAGTACCACTACCGGGCCATCTTCCTGGAGCTCCAGTGTCCGGTAGAAACCAGGTGCTTCCTCAGTTTTCCGTTGCCTGGCTTCCTAATTTCATTTCTATATTCCAGTGGGGCCCTGCCCCAGAAGTGACAGCACTGGAGAGGGAACTCAAGATACATCTCCTGCCCCCCAAGGCAGGTCCAGGCCCAAGTTCTCAATAGTCCACGCCCCCGCCCCCCATCTCAACATGGGACCCAGGTCTCCCTGTGGAAAGAAACTTCTCCAACACCATCTCCCCAGCCCCACTTAAGGGAGGTAAAGAATCTGGCTTTCCTCACTCTTGGCAGATGTGCGGGGCAGAAAGTTGTCTTTGTCCACAAGGCCAGTACCTGCAGAGTCTGCTTGGCTTTGGATCAAGATCTCTACTTCTGTTCTTGTTCCTGGGCCTCTGATAACTTTCTGCACCAAGGTCTAGTCCAGTCTTCCCTTTAGCAGCAGTAGCAAGAGGCCCCTGAGGGGTCAGATCCTCCCTCCTGGGTCCTCCCTGACTTTGAGGGGGAGGGGCTGGGTGTTCTCACTCAAGTAACTTTAAAACTTGAGTTTGCCTTAGTTCTTATACTATGATGTTATGGTGTCTCATCTACTTTAAGAAGGAATTTTCTCATTTCTGAAATCTGGATTCCTATGGTGGGTGGGTGGGGGCAGTGAGAGGTTTTAGTGCTATGTGGTCCTGTGCCTACTCCATGTGACTTTAACCCCCCTCCTGACACACACAGGTGCACTGCTAATGAGGCATTTCAGGTGGTCCCTAGCCTGTCAGGCACCAACCCTAGGTGCAGAAAGCCAGGAAGCCTGATGGGAGGGGGCATCCTTCAACAAGGCAAGGAATTCACAGGGGAGGAGCAGTTTAGAAAGGATCCATTCAGAGAGGTGGCTATGACCTCTACAACTGTAAGAAGTTTTTGGAAGACTTAACATCTGTTGATTTCCCTAATAATTTCCTTTTTATTGTAAACTCAATAGTGATCTGTGATTTTTTAAAAAAACTATGTCCTAATATGCTTAAAAGAAATCTTTGAGTAAGTATAAAATAAAAATTCCAGGTAATATAAAAACAGTGGATCATGGCTTCATGGGTAACATTAAAAAAGTGGATATTTGCATATTTTGAATCAGACAAAAGTCTAATAACCAGAATGTATGCAGAACTTCAATTAATCTACAAGGAA